CTTTAATTGAAAATTAAAATTAAAAATTTACATCTTTGAATTGAAAAAAAAAAAAACAAAAAAAACAAGCAAAGCCTAGCCACCTTTTCAAAATTTAACTTTATATAGTTTGTAAAAGCGTTAGTTGACTCAGATTTCCAAAGATGACTTACTTGCACCGTGAAACCATAGACCTTTCGCAACCGAAAAAGAAAACAATCGTATATTACGTGTTGATGGACCTTCATCATTTGGTTACCATAAAAGAGACTTGTGGACCTTCATCTTCATGGATCTTTATTTCTCGACGGAAAGATTCAATGATCTGCCTCCTAACGTACGTGCGAGTATACGAAATATTTCTTAATCAAAAATCGACGTAACGAATTAGTGGAGTGAGAAAGGGAGCACGCTAAATTTTCAGTTTCAAGTTTGCTTTAGTGAATGAAAGCGCATTACTAACTAAGGTTGGATTAAGTAGTGAGCGGTTTGTTTCAACTTAAATAAGGTTTTGAGTTTAAAATCTTGTGAACGTAGCAGCTTTTGTTGGAAAACTTACCCATCATTTTTAGGTGCGCGACATGAGTCGAATCCGAATTATTCGAGGCGAAACCCCAAATACTGGACGAGAAACATAAAAACAAAAATTGAATGAAAGCGCACTAATTTTAGCCTTTGTCCGTTTGTGGTATCTCCTCTCCTCTAATAAGACAATGATATTTAAGTAAATTAAGACATTTTATCATTTAACAAAAATAAATAATATATGAATTTAGTTAAATGAATACTAAGTAATATAAAAATTTTTAATTTAAAATTCATGAGGTTAGTAGTTTACACCCTTGAATAGCAAAAAACAAAAAATAAAAGATTCTAGCAAACTGCCCCACCACCTCATCAGAATTTTTTTTTTAAATACGAGGAATTATGAGTAACGAAATTTTTTTTTTAAGTAATCGATAAAAGTTGAATTTTTAATTAATTAAATTTAAACACTAAAATTTAAGAATAAATCAGTGGTTTGAACGCTCGATTTGTCACCTCATCAGGATTTAACTCTATTGGAGAAAGAAAATGCTACATGTAATATTTGTAATTATTATGTATGTAAGTATAATGCTTTTTAATTAATTTTTTCATCAGCGTCACATATAAATTGATATCCACAATTTCACATCACATTGTAAAAATTAGTGTATTTATTAGTGGATCTAATCTTGATTTCCAAACTACA